CTGTTTCTGTTTTTTCTCTCTCCTTTTTCTTTTGTAATAGCACTACCTCTCCCAGAGCCAAGAGAGGACAACCACTGACGAGTGTCTCTCCCTCTCTCAATTCAATTTAAGGGCTTTATTGGCATGGGAAACACATGTTTACATTGCCAAAGCAAGTGAAATAGATAATAAACAAAATTGAAATAAACATAAAATATTAACAGTGAACATTACACTTACAATAGTTCCAAAACAATAAAGACATTTCAAATGTCATACCATGTCTATATACAGTGTTATAATGATGTGCAAATAGTTAAAGTACAAAAAGGAAAATAAATAAACATAAATATAGGTTGTATTTAAAATGGTGTTTGCTCTTCACTGGTTGCCCTTTTCTTGTGGCAACAGGTCACAAATATTGCTGCTGTGATTGCACACTGTGGTATTTCACCCAATAGATATGGGAGTTTATCCAAATTGGATTTGTGGGTCTGTGTCTCTAATATGGTCAGACATTTGGCAGGAAGTTAGGAAGTGCAGCTCAGTTTCCACCTCATTTTGTGGGCAGCGTGCACATAGCCTTTCTTCTCTTGAGAGCCAGGTCTGCCTACGGCGGCATTTCTCAATAGCAAGGCTATGCTCACTGAGTCTGTACATAGTCAAAGATTTCCTTAATTTTGGGTCAGTCACAGTGGTCAGGTATTCTACCACTGTGTACTCTCTGTTTAGGGCCAAATAGCATTCTAGTTTGTGCAGTTTCTTTTGTAAATTCTTTCCAATGTGTCAAGTAATTATCTTTTTGTTTTCTCATGATTGGGTTGGGTTGGTTGGGTCTAATTATGTTGCTATCCTGGGGCTCTGTGTGGTCTTCTTGTGTTTGTGAACAGAGCCCCAGGACCAGCTTGCTTAGGGGACTCTTCTCCAGGTTAATCTCTCTGTAGGTGATGGCTTTGTTATGAAAGGTTTGGGAATCGCTTCCTTTTAACAGGTTGTAGAATTTAACAGCTCTTTTCTGGATTTTGATAATTAGCGGGTATCGGCCTAATTCAGCTCTGCATGCATTATCTGGTGTTTTACATTGTACACTGAGGATATTCTTGCAGAATTCTGAATGCAGTCTCAATTTAGAGTTTGTCACATTTTGTGAATTATTTGTTGGTGAGCAGACCCCAGATCTCACAACCATTAAGGGCAATGGGTTCTATAACTGCTTCAAGTATTTTTAGCCAGATCCTAATTGGTATGTCGAATTATATGTTCCTTTTGATGGCATACAGTAGCTTGCGAAAGCATTCACCCCCCTTGGCATTTTTCCTATTTTGTTGCCTTACAACCTGGAATTAAAATGGATTTTTGGGGGGTTTGTATCATTTGTCTTACACAACATGCCTACCACTTTGAAGAAGCAAAATATTTTTTCTTGTGAAACAAACAAGAAATAAGACGAAAAAACTGAAAACTTGAGCGTGCAAGTCAATACTTTGTAAAGCCACCGTTTGCAGCAATTACAGCTGCAAGTCTCTTGGGGTATGTCTCTATAAGCTTCGCACATCCAGCCACTGGGATCTTTGCCCATTCTTCAAGGCAAAACTGATCCAGCTCCTTCAAGTTGGATGGGTTCCGCTGGTGTACAGCAATCTTTAAGTCATACCACATATTCTCAATTGGATTGAGGTCTGGGCTTGGACTAGGCCATTCCAAGACATTTAAATGTTTCCCCTTAAACCACTCAAGTGTTGCTTTAGCAGTATGCTTAGGGTCATTGTTCTGCTGGAAGGTGAACCTCCGCCCCAGTCTCAAATCTCTGGAAGACTGAAACAGGTTTCCCTCAAGAATTTCCCTGTATTTAGCGCCATCCATCATTCCTCATTTCTGACCAGTTTTCCAGTCCCTGCCGATGAAAAGCATCCCCACAGCATGATGCTGCTACCACCATGCTTCACTGTGGGGATGGTGTTCTCGGGGTGATGAGAGGTGTTGGGTTTGTGCCAGACATAGCGTTTTCCTTGATGGCCAAAAAGCTCAAATTTTAGTCTCATATGACCAGAGTACCTTCTTCAATATGTTTGAGGAGTCTCCCACATGCCTTTTGGCGAACACCAAACGTCTTTGCTTATTTTTTTCTTTAAGCAATGCCTTTTTTTCTGGCCACTCTTCCGTAAAGCCCAGCTTTGTGGAGTGTACGGCTTAAAGTGGTCCTATGGACAGATACTCCAATATCTGCTGTGGAGCTTTGCAGCTCCTTCAGGGTTATCTTTGGTCTCTTTGTTGCCTCTCTGATTAATGCCCTCCTTGCCTGGTCCATGAATTTGGTGGGCGGCCCTCTCTTGTCAGGTTTGTTTTGGTGCCATATTCTTTCCATTTTTTTAAATAATGGTTTTAATGGTGCTCTTTGGGATGTTCAAAGTTTCTGATATTTTTTTATAACCCAACCCTGATCTGTACTTCTCCACAACTTTGTCCCTGACCTGTTTGGAGAGCTCCTTGGTCTACATTATTTTTTTATTTTTTTCAATTTTTTGTCATTTAGCAGACGCTCTTATCCAGAGCGACTTACATGAGCAATTAAGGTTAAGTGCCTTGCTCAAGGGCACATCAACAGATTTTTCACCTAGTCGGCTCTGGGATTAGAACCAGCGACCATTCAGGTACTGGCAGAACGCTCTAAACCACTACGCTAATTGCCACCCTATGATGCCGCTTGCTTGGTGGTGCCCCTTGCTTAGTGGTGTTGCAGACTCTGGGGCCTTTCAGAACAGGTGTATATATACTGAGATCATGTGACAGATCATGTGATACTTAAATAAAGTCCACCTGTGTGCAATGTAACTATTTATGTGACTTCTGAAGGTATTTGGTTGCACCAGATCTTATTTAGGGGTTTCATAGCAAACGGGGTGAATACATATGCACGCACCACTTTTCCGTTATTTATTTTTTAGAATTTTTTGAAGCAAGTTCTGAAGCTGAGGCAGAACTGAAGGGTTGGCTATATTGTAAAAATTAATGAAAGCAAAAATGGCCTTTTTGGTCTTAATTTAAGGTTAGGGGTTAGCCATTAGGTTTAGCAGTTTGGTTAAGGTTAGGGTTAAAATCAGATTGAATGACTTTGTGGCTGTGCCAGCTAGTGACCACTCTGCAGAGCTGCCTCCAATACATGAGTAATCTCAATAAATGCCAACCTGCCATCACTGGGAGCGAGCTCCCAGCCACCCAGGTCCTTAATTCCAGGTGGTGTGATTTTTTTTTAAACAATGACTCCAGTCACCCGAGCCACGGACTGTTCTCTCTGCTCCCATCCGGCAGGTGGTATCGGAGCATTGGGTCTCAGACCAACCTGCTCCGAGACACGTTCTTTCCCCAGGCCATAAGGCTGTTGAATAGCTAACAACTACTGCCCTCCCACTATCCCACAGACTATCCACACTGACTACCTGCATTACTACCCGCATTGACCCTACCCACTCAGGCACACACACCTATACTCTTACACACACACACACACACACACACACACTCATCACCATGCACACACCCACTCACCACCTACACTGCTGCTATAGTGGTTATATTGATTATTATTACCATTACGTTGCTTCTATGTTGATTATTATGATTATTATTACCGTTAGTATTTATCCTGCTACCAGTCACTTTTTACATGTACATACCTACCTCAATCACTCCAGTACCCCTGCACATTTTAATAATGGTACTGACCTGTATATAACTTCCATTCTCATATTTTTTTCTTCTTTCGTATATCTCATGTGTTTTTCTTATCTATATTATTACTTTTATTACTGCATTGCTGGGAAAGAGCTCGCAAGCAAGCATTTCTCTATACTGTTTTACACCTTGTATGTATCCTGTGCACGTGACAAATAAACGTTGAATTGGAACTTCAAACACAAGTACTTCCCCACTGAATGAAACCAGCTCATCTCCATAATCAGCCCATTCAATCAATTATTTTTTGATATTTCAGAAAGCCAGCAGCACCTATAAAACCATATCTGGGCTAGGGCATTCCACTCAGGTTGAATTGCTTTCGATCATTTCAACCTCTACTACAGCTTGATAACAACTCCTTACTTTAATTCACTCTTTAATTCACTTTCTTTCTTAATGTCCAACCTCCCTATCTGCACATTGTGGTGTCTGCCTCTGTCTGACAATCATCCAACATTGAAGTGACTCTCACCATATCATAGTGCTGCACATTGTTAAGTCAAACATATACAATGGGGGGCAGAAAGCAGAGAAGAGTTACAATATCAAAAGCATGGTGGTAGAATAGCTCCTGAAGGTGTCCCTCTGGCTATCTAAAAAACAACACCTTGTTCATACCCTAGGCCTCAAGTAGAACAAGCAGTAAAGAAGGGAGGGAAAGAGATCAACTATTCAAATCAGAAAACCATTGAGCTATGAAGCAGTGCTAGAGGCGTCACTACAGACCCGGGTTCGATCCCGGGCTGTGTCGCAGCTGGCCACGTCCGGGAGACCAATGAGGCGGCACACAATTGGCCCAGCTTTCGTCCGGGTTAGGGGAGGGTTTGGCCGGCCGGGATGTCCTTGTCCCAGTTGTATGGTGTTTCCTCCGACACATTGGTGCGGCTGGCTTCTGGGTTAAGCTGGCAGTGTGTCAAGAAGCTGTGCGGCTTGGCAGGGTCGTGTTTCGGAGGACGCATGGCTCTCGACTTTCACCTCTCCCGAGTCTATACGGGAGTTGCAGCGATGGGACAAGACTGTAACTACCAATTGGGGGTAAAAAGTACCAAAAAAAACACACAAAAAACCTATTCAATATAACACCAATTAGTTCTCTAGTATGTAATTCCCTCTGAGCACACACACTCAGAGGGAATTACTTTAGTATCACGCTGGTGCAACTTTTCACTTTCTGTCCTGTTCATTACCATGTCGCTCTTGGATACCCTTCTGGCAACGATGAGTTGGATCATCCCTTGCTTGTTGCCCTCCATTGACATGAACAGCCGCAGCGTTTCCATGGCGTCCTAGTTGGGCTTGCCTAGCAACGACTCGCCGTTGACGGCGATCAGCTGGTTGTTGACTCTCAGTCGGCCATCCTGGTGAACCACACAGAGAGTGTAATCATATACGTGTATATGCACTGTAAATGGGCCTGTTATACAGCTCATTACAATAACGACATGGTATTTTGACCATCTTAAAGTGAATGTCCGTGAGAGTAATTAACTGACTATTGGAGAACAGATAATACAGGACAATACAGAACAGAAGTCTACTACAGTCATCATTCATTCTTACTGCACCACATTCTCTTTGAGGAGTGTAAACATTGTAATTTAGAATAGGCCAATGGGTGGCGAGAGAGCAGGGTGCTCCTCACCTTGGAGGCTGCTCCTCAGTTGATGATGGACTTGACGAAGATGCCCAGGTCAGCGTGGTTCTCCTTGGAGCGGTTTCCCTAGACGCTGACCCCCAGACCTCCCGACCCCAAGTCACTCAAGGGGATCTCAAAGGTCAGGAACTCCCTGGAGCCGTCTGGAGTTAGCACTAGGTCGTCTTCTTCTGTCTTCTATAAGGAGGGAGGGAGGGGGGAGGAAGGGAGGGAGGGAGGGAGAGGGGGAGAGAGAGAGAGAGAGAGAGAGAGAGAGAGAGAGAGAGAGAGAGAGAGAGAGAGAGAGAGAGAGAGAGAGAGAGAGAGAGATCAGAAGGATATGAGAAGGGGGAGAGATCAGATGAGAGTGTGTCATGTCTTACTGTGGCTGTCATTATCACTTTGCCTTAAGGTCTAGCAGATCGCCGCTAATTCGCTGTCACAGTCATAAGCTCCCTGTGTGGGAAGCAGGACGAAAGCAGCTTTGAAAACACCAGGTAGCAATTTTACACTCAAACAACTGTGTTTCCCCTTGATGTCCCCACAATGCATCTTTAGAAGATGATTTCTTGTCTCACGTTTGAGGCCCGACATATAAGTGTTCTAGTGTTCTGTCAGATGCTTTGTTAGAGTTCATTTGTAAAGAAAGAAGAGGTTAAAATTAACGTTTAGTCTCAGTGTGTTCACACTGCTTAGGAGTGAAACCTGTTTAAAACCACTGGTGTCAGAATTCCATTTATTCTCCCTTCTCTCTGAATGTTTTATGGGTGGAGAATTTTGAAAGGACGGGCGTAAAAATCACAAAGGCTTTTGCTAACCTAGGTCTTTAAAAATGCTATTTTATTATTCCTTTCTTACAAAAAGACTAGTAAGGGGAAGGAGAGGTGGGAAAGAAAACACCAGCGACATCAAAAAAGACAATAATTATATTTCTCTGTGCATGACAGAAGCTGGTTCATTGAGATGGACAGGGAGAGAGCTTGTCCTGAATATTAAAATTATTTCACAGCATATCATGACCTCTCATGCATCCTAATCACAAGTGTGTGCAGAGGAATCTGCAGCCACTATTATTGCTCCTTATTGCTGGTTGTATTGCTCTTTAGAACCAATAAAATACAGTTTGGGGAAGGATAAAACAAATAAGAACAAACTTCCTCTTCTGAAAAGAATAATATTTAGGAGGGATATGGAACCGTGTATGTGTGTATATATAGAGTCATGGTGGATGTGTGTATGTGTTTGTCTTGCAGTTATAGTCATGGCCACTGCATTAAGGGAACTAATGCACACAGCAGGAGCAATCAACCTTGGGACCCCTGCTCCAAGACCCCTATAACACTGCTGATGAAAGTATTGCTCTGCACACACACGCACGTGAAAGCACACACACCCACACACACACACACACACACACACAGGTGTCTGCCCTTCACAGCTGCTAAGTGAGAGTAGAGCAGGTTTTCAGCGGCTAAGGACAGGGAGATGCAGTAGTGTGTTCAGGTGCATGAGCCTTTTTTCAACACCTACCTCGGCCTAATGCCCTATTCCCCAGCAATTCCCTGTGTGTGTGTGTGTGTGTGTGTGTGTGTGTGTGTGTGTGTGTGTGTGTGTGTGTGTGTCCGTGCGTGTGTGTACGTGTGTGAGCCCCTATTCCCATGCATTACCCCAGCTATTCCCCTGCCCCTCTCAGTACCTAACAGTCTACACCCCCCCTCAGTAAATACATGCCCCTGGAATCTTTCTAATCACACTGCATTTCAACAGATAGCCCTCTCATTATACACATACAATGGAGGCCCATGCCAGGAAATCACCATTCATATCCTATAGCCAGGTGATAGGGAGTGGGCACAGGTCAGGTAGAGAGAGGTATCCTTCCTCACTACCAGCAGAAAGTAATTATTTGTCCCTGACTACTAAAATGTAGGTGATAGAATAATGGTTCATGTTAGCATGATCTCATAGTGTCACGACTTCCGCCGAGGCTGCCTCCCCTCCTTGTTCGGGCAGGTTTCGGTGTTCGTCGTCACCAGCTTACTAGCTGCTGCCGATCCATTTATCATCACTCCACTAGTCTTGTCTAATTAATCACACACTCACCTGGTCCTTATCCCCAATTAGTCATTGTATTAGTGTTCCCTCTGCTTCCATGTCTGTGTGGGTGATTGTTTGTTGTGAGCTGTGTGTAGCTCGGTTGAGCTACCCTTACCTTGTTGTTGCCAGGGTAGATATTTCCCCTGTGCCTGAGTTTTGTTGTCGCATGCTTGCGCAACTGTTTATCGACGGAATAAACCTTTTGGATGCGTATTACTCTCCTGCGCCTGACTCCTATCACACGCATCACACATAGTCCTTATTCAAAGTTACACTGAATGCAGACAAGGCTTTAGTTTGTTTCAAACAAACAGTAACCCAGTCATTAGCTTTTAGTTTGGAGTTTTATATAGTTCATCATCATGAATCAATCATTCAATCTGAATCAGTTGTGCTCTGGCAAGCCCAGAGTTTGACTTTAAACACAACTCTTCCTGTTATGATCAATTATGTGTCCTTGTTGCCAATGTGACCATGGCAACAGCAAAAAAATACTATTCTTTCCAAAAACACTCACAGCTACTTGGATAAATTGCCAACATGCGTCACAGAGAAATACTACGTCTTTATTATTAATCTCCGGAGAGGCTTTTAGCTTAACTGTTGAGGCCTGGAATATATTAGATGCCACAAATTAAATCTGTCACATTTGGCCAGAGGACAACTTTTTGTGTCTTCAGAAAAATGACAATGCAACAATCGCCCTGGCATTCAAGTCCTGAAAGGGAAGGCTGGGATGATAAGTGAATGAGAGAGAGGCATGGTAACATTCTTATCAGATAGGAACAAGCGCTGCCGGACAACTCTGAGGGTGTTTGTCAAAATATATACTACTGTGCTCCGAGCACGCAAATTGGAGGGTTGGAGTATGAGTCCAAATCAAAGTATGCAAAACGGAGCACAGATGGCACTTTGTACATATTTTGAAGCATGTATCGATGCAAGCTTCAATGGAAAGCATGCACAGAAATATGACACAACCACGTAAAGAATTACGCAACATTTCTTGAAATCAATGCGGCCATTATTTGAGCTGAAGCGAGAGAAAATACACTGACTTTGGAATGAAATGTTGCCTATTCAGATCTCATATGTTGCCTGACTACAATATGTTATCTTGATATGTTAATAAATACATGCGGTCTTAATTTTGGAATGTTTACTTGCCTACAATACCCACTGTAGTGTGTGTAGATTGCAAGCCCATAGTAAGTCAACAGGGCTAACTGGCTACTACTGTTAGCTAGCCAGATAGCCACGAAGAATTGCTAGCTATAGCTCCTTCAGAAAATATTGATACCCCTTGACTTTGTTGTGTTTCAGCCTGAATTCAAAATGGACTAAATATAATTGTTTTCCTCACTCATCTACACACAATACCCAATAATGACAAAGTGAAAACATGTTTTTAGAATTGTTTGCAAATGTATTGAAAATGAAAGAGAAATATCTCATTTACATAAGTATTCACACCCCTGAGTAAATACAAATTAGAATCAAGTTAGAATCGATTACAGCTGTGAGTGTTTCTGGGTAAGTATTTAAGAGCTTTGCACAACTGGATTGTACAATATTTGTACATTATTATTACAAAAATGATTCAAGCTCTGTCAAGTTGGTTGTTGATCATTGCTAGACAGCCATTTCCAAGTTTTGCCATATAGTTTCAAGCCAATTTAAGTCTAAACTGTAAATAGGCCACTTAAGAACATTCAATGTCGTCTTGGTAAGCAACTCCAGTGTATACTTGGCCTTGTGTTTTAGGTTATTGTCTTGTTGAAAGGTGAATTTGTCTCCCAGTGTCTATTGGAAAGCAGACTGAACCAGGTTTTCCTCTAGGAGTTTGTCTGTGCTTAGCCCTATTCCATTTATTTTTATCCTAAAAAACTCCCTAGTCCTTTCCAATGACAAGCATACCCATAACATGATGCAGCCACCACCATGCTTGAAATATGAAGTGGTACTCAGTGATGTGTTTTGTTGGGTTTGCCCCAAACATAACACTGTGTTCAGGACAGGACGTTTATTTCTTTGCCACATTTTTTGCAGTTTTACGTTTGTGCCTTATTGCAAACGGGATGCATGTTTTGGAATATTTTAATTCTGTACAGGCTTCCTTCTTTTCACTCTGTCATTTAGGTTAGTATTGTGGAGTAACTACAATGTTGTTTATCCATCCTCAGTTTTCTCCTATCACAGCTATTAAACACTGTAACTGCTTTAAAGTCACCATTGTCCTCATTGGTGAAATCCCTGAGCAGTTTCCTTAGTTTCTGGCAACTGAGTTAGGAAGGACGCCTGTATCTTTGTAGTGCCTTGGCGTACACCATCCAAAATGTTATGAATAACTTCACCGTGCTCAAATGGATATTCAATGTCTGCTTTTTTTTTTTACCAATAAGTGCACTTCTTTGTGAGGGATTGGAAAACCTCCCTGGTCTTTGTGGTTGAATCTGTGTTTGAAATGTACTGTTCGACTAAGGGACCTTACAGATAACTGTATGTGTGGGGTACAGAGATGAGGTAGTCATTCAAAAATCATGTTAAACACTATTATTGCACACAGAGTGAGTCCATGCAACTTATTATGTGACTTGTTAAGCACATTTTTACTCCTGAACTGTTATAGGCTTGCCATAACAAAAGGGTTGAATACTTATTGACTCAAGGCATTTCAGCTTTCATTTTTTTAATTAATTTGACATTATGGGGTATTGTGTGTAGGCCAGTGACACAACATCTCAATCTCATTTTAAATTCAGGCTGTAACACAACACTTTTTCAAAAAGTCAAGAGGTGTGAATACTTTCTGAAGGCACTGTAGCTAGCTACCCACGAATAATTGACATCTACCTTGTATAACATTAGTTTTATGTCATTTTTGGCTGTTTAACTAGCTGGCTAGCTAGATTATTACGATTCACGTATAGCTAGCTAGCTGATCATTTTAAAGTAAAATGTTTGCTTTGTGTATATCTTGTTTCGTCTTTATTGTTGCTATTGTCCTGGCTGGAAGAAGGTTCAGTGAATGGGGAGGTGCAGCATGAGGTAATTCAGTAGGGGGAGTGTGAGTGCTTCTTAAATGAAAGGTTTTATGCGTTCTTCACACTCTCGTCCTCACAAGAACGTACTCAATAGAATGTCCTCAGAGAATGCACTCAGAGCATGATAGTGTGGAGCACGGTAGTATGCATATTGAGAAACACCCTCAGTTTGAAGAGCAAGCTGACAGCAGCTCCACCCTGATGTGAGGGAAGGGAACACAGCTTAAAACCCTATTCAATCAAAAGGAATAGTTTCTAGTATACCATCATTTGAGTGAACACATTTTTTTTTAATATGTGTTGGGTTAGTTCAAAGATAAGCTATATAATCATTATTGCACAATGATAGACCGACCTTCTGAAGAGTGAACAGGAACAATAGGTTCACTAACATACTGCTCAGGTATTGTATGCAATATGTATTCAGTGGAGTTCTCTTTTTCTCAGCACTACTTGTCATGTAGCTACACTGGGTCCCTGTGCACCTGTCTAGTCCTAGACAAAGCCATTCCATTACACAGGAACAACAACCTGCCTGGCTGCCATCCATTCCTCTCTAAAGGATTCACCTAGCCACAGCCCATTATGTGCAGTGGGTCCTTTATTATTAATTAATAGTCTGTCTGGGTGGTATGCATTCATTAAGGCCCATTGTCCTACAGGAGAGGGTGAATTATATTGTCTGAAGAGAAACAAAGGGGAGAGACACAGGATGGACCGGAGCGGAAACACAGAGCAGAGGAGAGCAGAGCAGTCTACCATACCATACCCTTGCATACAAAGTAGGGTTTTGTCTCTCTTCTACCTCGCTGCTTGTCACCTTCTAACAGGGTATGTGTGGGGGTTGAGGGCAGCGTGGGTGTGTGTGTGGTGTGTGTGTGGGTAGTGTGTATGTGTGTATGTATGTGTGTGTGTGTGTGTGTGTGAGTGTGTGTGTGTACGTGCACATCAGCGCATACATGTGTGCTTGTGTGTGTGGTGAGAGATAAAGAGTACAGAAAAGGAGAGAAAGAGAGAGCCGAAGAAAGAGAAAAGTGAGAGAAGAAATGTAATCACCTTCCCCCTTTCACACACCTCAAACACTTTTCTGTGAAAAGATTTGCAGCATTGGAAACTTTTCTCCACACACGCCCGAATTTCGTCACATAAAGTTAATTGGAAAGGAATTTAAAATCCCCCAAAAATATCAGTCAAGGATGTAATTGCAAAGAAGCCCATACATGATAAGTAGTATTAAAACATGAATTTCCTTTTGCTCTGTTTCTTTCTTTACCCGACGAATGACTGCTGATAATGGGTGACCTTTGGCTCAATGTGGATCAGGACTATTCCGGTGCAATTAGACCTAATACAGAGAGAACTACATAATGGCATTATATTCACTCTGGTCAAAAGTAGCGTACTATGTAGGGAATAGGGTTCTATTTGGGACAAACTCAGTGTGCTGGCTAGGGTAAACACCACACACACCACTCCACACTGAAAGAGTGAGAGAGGCTGGCTCCAGCACTGGGCCAGAAGAATGGACTTAGTCACCTAGACTAAAGAGTAGATGGGTAGCTTGAGACCCCAGAAGGGTGTGTGTGTGTGTGTGTGCGTGCGTGTGTGTGATAGACTTGGCTAGGTAAACATGCTTGACCTATAGGGCTATTATCTCGCCAGGTTTTATATATTGTCTGTGTTGGATGAATTAAGCCAGTATTAATTTAAGGGGATCAGGAGGGTAAAGGGGTGGAAGGAAGCTTAATCAAGCTTAATCTGTCTCCATAGTTTTACACAACAAACGACGAAGCATAGACAGCATAATGTATTTCAAACTCTAAGCCACAGATATACTGGAGTTTCTGGGTTGTGCTGTAATTCACTCAATGCTGCCCTTTATTTCAATGGCGAGGGTTTGATGACGTTATTTACCTACATAGAATGGGTCTGTGACAAACAATGGAAACATTAGTCTTTCAATGCCATTCACTGGCTGTACTACATCTTAATCAAGCCCTGCATTAAACATCTGTTATACGGGTTATAAACACACAGTGTCTAACACTACTCTACAGTTCTCTCTATCCAATGGTGAGTGACAAAACATTTGGTATGTCCAACTTCACACTTCAACCAGCTGGGTGTGTGTTACTGTTACTTCAGGCAGGCTGGGTGAGTACTGGTTTGGACCTTTGGGGAGGCGGAGTGTGTCCTCAGTCCTCATAAGTGGCCCTTAACTACCTTGTTTATCAGCCAGTTGTACAATGCCGCCATACCGCCGCGCACCACGCCACCTCTCGCAAGTATAACGGCAGGCGTAATTACAGGTAATAGTTGCTGAAAAGTACTTAATGAAAACAGGTGGTGAGCTCCGAAACAGTTTGAAAGTCATTAACGGAGTGGCATTGTCTTCCGCCACACTTTACGTTGAATTATGTGAGTGTGTGGCACTGAACCCAAATTGGCACTAATCAAAAACCCAAAAGCCCTAGTAAACAACAAGGCAGAAACTCATCTGGCTGGTGAAAATGAAAAAGACCATAAGGTTTGAAAAATGAATGGGGAGAAAAAGACATGGGACCATTTTGTACTGCTTCAAACACAATAGAAGTTAAATAACCTAGGCCATTAAAGGAGAATGGCAATTTTTCTCCACAGGAGAGGAAGGCTAAGTGCTATAGTAAAACACTGGCGTGAATCGATGGAGCTAACGCTGTTCGGTGGCAGAGAGAGAGAGAGCTAGAGAGAGAGAGCTAGAGAGAGAGAGAGAGAGAGAGAGAGAGAGAGAGAGAGCACGAGAGAGAGCGAGAAAGAGAGAGAGAGACTATACTTTGACAAGGTCAACACAACCAATAATAGACTTACAATAGAGTAATAGATGTACTTATGATCAAAGGGTTGTCAGTCCCTACACCGTTCTCCACCCCTTCCTTCAAATGCTTCTCCCTTTTCTGTGTTTGTGAGTAATCATACTAATCTTTCTTGTACTGTAAAGTTCAGAAGTTAGGCCAGGGGTTGATTACGTCCAAGACATTTGCAACCAGGGGTTGGAACCGGTTCAGGGAACAGAAAGTATTTTCGAGGAGCAGAAACAGAACCGGGAACAAAAGTGATCTCTATTGTTCTGGAACATAACCGTTATTAAAAATTTTTTAGAACCTCTTTTTTTTTTGTTCCCAAAAATATTCCTAATATCTAGTATATAATTCAGTAATTCAGTGAAGTTATAATGCTAGTAATAGCCTAAACACATTCTAATTCACATCATGTCATGATGTTCAGCGCTTCAAGCCAAGCCCCCTCCATGTCCACCCTTCTATCGCTCTACCCATCCGTGAAATGTATCTCGTGCCGGCACTTATCTGACCAATCAAACATGTAAAGCTTTCAAGTTCCGTAGCAAGCTGCTCTATCTGTGCTAATTAGTGGAGTGAATTAATGAGCTAAATGTAAAAACTATTTTGATTTCACTGGTAAAACAATATACGTAAAAGGAACCGTTACTTTTCTTTGGTTCGAACTGTTTCAGAGCTTTATTTCCTGATTGGAACACTGGAACAGAACGAAAAAACTAGGGGTTCTGTTCGGAATGGACCGATTGGAAAATAATGTTGGTTCCAACCCCTGCTTGTAACATTACTCTCACAACTGCATAATAAGGAGAAATAATACTTTTACAGCTGGTCTTTATTTAAGAAGGGTTAGATCACTCAGGAACTCAGTGAAAGGGTTAATTTATTCCCCTTTAAAAAGGAAAGGAGCACAGACCACACCTTTACTGTTTTGTCTCTCATACAGAGATAAATTAAAATACTAATTCTTAAGCAACGCGATTGGATGGCTGATTTTCAAATCAGTAGCAGCCAGTATATTTCTCAACTCTATGAAGGAAATGAAGAGAACAGCAGTTTTGCCACTTTGTTAGCAAAAGTTGCAGCACGTTACCTCATCCTTGCGGTAAGGCGAAAGCATAACTCTACGAAAAATCTAATTATATTAACACAGAAGATGACACTTCTCTGGCCCTGCTGAATGCTGTAGAATGTCCTGCCTTGTTGAAAGATACCACTGTTTATCACAATCTAAAGAAACATCCTGGGTAATATGAGCTAAAACCTTTTGATTCTAAATCATCCAAGGGCTAGGCTTCTCTCTCTCTCTCTCTCTCTCTCTCTCTCTCTCTCTGAGATCGGATGGGAAGAGGAGGCAGAAGAGGAGGAACGGAGGAGGCAGGTAACATAAGCCAAGCCAAGCCAAGCGGTGGCTAGGGAGAGGTAGATGAGCAGAAAGAAGGAGGTCAGAGAGAGTAAGTGATCAGAGGACCAAGCCATGGAACCACACCCATCTGCCACACACAACAATTTCTTCAATCAGCCAATCATGGGGCATTGCTGTGGGGACAGACAAGTGGACAGATACTGAATTGTGCACTCTCAGAGCAATGCAACATGACACTCCTGACTGAACCCCGTCATCCCTATCCCCACCCCGATCCCAGGGGTAGCAGAACATTGGTGCATCTGCAGAAGCCTCAATATACAGTACTGCACAGGAGCCCATTCACAACAATACTGTTCCACACACAGCTACTTAAAAACAAGCACAAGTATATATCCTGTTAAGTTTCATCAATTGTTTTGTCTTACAACAAAGCAAAATCAATGAACTGCAGCTACATAAGTATTTATTTATTTATCTTTATCCTCTTCTAATACATCACTGGCACCACAACAAAAGCTGTCTTCATACAGAGTGTGGAGTGATTGTGGAAAAAACAAGAGATATCATCTGCTGAGGATAATTGAGCCCATTTAACTGGAATGTGCTATAAAGGTTCACTGGCGTGGTTTGGGAAAGGAAAACAATGGCATGCTTGTTTGGCTTACAAAGACATTTCAGGGAACCAACCCAGCAGCCTTTTATTTCAATATGCATTTAAAGGGACTTATATAAAATGGGATATTTTACACGTTCAGAGCGATCTCAAATGGGGCGATTCTGATTGCAGCCATTACAGTTTAATGGTATATGAGTTTAGTGGTAGAAAACATTGTGGGGACCACTTTGATTTGGACTAGCTGGACTACGGTAAACAGGACTTTGGGTAATAGGGGCCACATCCATCTAATCGTGTCTCTCTGAGAGAGATCGAGAGATCCGAGATAGCTCTGGAGAGAGAGAGAGAGAGAGAACGAGAGAGAGAGAGAGGAGAGAGCGCGAGAGAGAGAGAGAGAGAGCGAGATCTCTAGCTCTTTCTCTCTCTCTATCTCTTATCTCTCTCTCTCTCTATTCTCGATCTCTATCTCTCTCCTCTCATCTCTATCGTCGCTCTCTCTCTCCTCTCTCTCTCTCTCTCTCTCTCTCTCTCTCTCTCTCTCTCTCTCTCTCATCATTCAGAAAGACTGTAATTAATTGTGCAATTAAAGATTCTTAATCCTTGGCAGACACGGATGCTAATTGACCAGTGAAAACTGTGATATGATCATAAAGACAGGTTTTAACGTATTGCTTAATTACACTGGTGTGATCCAGAACTACAGAATAGTCACCATGGAGAAGCATAGATTCATCATGTTCCTTTAACACCCATTTGTTCTTCATATCACACTCTCTGTGTATCCAAAATGGCACAATATTCTCTATTTAGTGCACTACTTTTGATGGGCTCTGGTCAAAAGTAGTGCACAATATAGGGAATAGGGTTTAATTGTGGACGCAGCCTCTATAGTTCTATATAGGGACTGACGGTACAAGCATGCACTTCGGGTCAATGGGCTGTGTGTTATGTTCATGATATAAATATGAAACATTGTTTATGATGCAGCTGTAAGAGAACATGGCTGTAATCGAGCTACACACACAAACACACCTTTACTCATGACAACAAGTTGGGCAACCACTTTGCAGCTCTAACAGTAAACCCACCAGACTGCAGTTTTAAACCTAAACCAACTCAACAGGTGAAATTGGGACTTGTCATGACATCATCAGGGTTGCCTTTTTTTGTTTAGCCTGCGTTCGTTTGCATAAAATATCTTAAATGATTCCCTTAAGGATTTACCTTAAGGAATAATTTCCCCTTACCTAAGGGAATTGTTTAAGGGCATTGCATAGAGCCCCTCAAACGTTTTCCTTAGGTAAGGGCATACTGGGAAAAAGAGTATCTGGTTACCATAGAGACGACCTGATTCACTGACTGAATGTCTCCTCACAATTTATTTTGGGAGATCGCAAAATAGAGCTTCTACATTCAAGAAAGGAGAAACAAATTGATTCTGAAGATAATAAAACATGTTTAGTTTAGTTACTTTTTTCTCAACTTGTTTTTATTACCTTCTAGCACGTCAAGCTAACTTACAGAGTAGGTAGCTAGCTAATCAGCAAGCTTTGTAGCCATGGATTGTGCACCTTCCATTGTTTAGCTAAGTAGCTAGCCAGCCAGTGGCGGCTCCTGAAAAAATTCTCAGGGGGGGCAATTTTTCTGATGATTTAGGTGACCTACACACATTTTAAAAAAGATATGTCCAGCAACAACATGAAGACAGGGGCAGCATATAAGTCAATACCAGAAGCATTTATTGACTGATCTCAAAAGTGTTGGCTTACAAAAGCAAAATAAGTTATCACAGTAAAAATAATCAAGGGTGTTCTTTCACATTCCTCAACACTGCATAAACAATATGCATTTCCATAAAACACCTCATCTAATTGTGCCACAAAGTTGACAAGTCCAAGAAAAATACCAGGGTTGGTGGAGCCCTCAGTTTCATCTTTGCCTCGCAAAGCTAACTCAAACACTCCGCAAAACCTCACACACTGGATTAGCCGGCTGAGGATGTGGCGGTTCTTGCTAACCTCATCATTGTGGCGGCGGACAGCTAGCCTGTATCCCTCATCCAGTTGAGTGGCAATGTTCACTCTCCCCAAAGCAGACAATCTCAAACAGCTATCCATGTGGGTCTTTGACAGCTCATGTTTCTTAATCTTTTCTGAAAGATGGTGCATGTCCGTTACACCAGTCGCTGTCCAAGCGGTGCTGTCTGCCGTGCTGCCTTCAGGGTGAAAGAGTAAGCAGGGGTAGCAGAAGACTGCATTAGCTACATCGCAGCCTGCTAGCCAGGTTTTTCGTTCGTACCAATTTTTGGAAAATCCTCGGGTGTAGGACTTTCCCCCTTTAGTAGAAACCTGTTTAATTATTAAATTTGGTCTGGGAGGTCCTAATTGTTTCGTTGCCAATTTATCTTGATTTGTTCGCCGACAAAAAGGAACTTCTTTCAAAGAGACAATCGAGTTGCACTGAACGCTAGCCATCTTGACAGTAGTACGTGAATTGATTGACGCTGCTACCCGCTCTTTTCTTAGTTACGTTCATGGTTATGTTACGTATGACGAAAGCGCGTAAGTGCAAGCCCTCCCGGAACCCATAGAGATTGTATTGAAAGCTCTGATATTTGAAAAAAAAAGATTTTACATGAGAGTCTATGAGAGACTTCTGGGGCGATTTTCAACCTGACTGAAATCGCCCCAAAAGGAGCGGGTCCATTTGAAGCACGACTTTAGCCTGATTGGACATTTAATGGCAGATCAGACGTCTAGATTAGAACACTGATAACTACTGTTGCCGTGATATAATTGATTAGAAAAAAAATCCCTTCCTTTTCCCGTTTGGCAGTGCGTCGCCCATATCGCCCTAATGAACACACCGCCCCTGTAGCCAGCTATACACCTAGCTAGCTGGTTGATGTTTTCCTTTTGCAACCAGGGCAGAGGAAAGAAACATTCACCTCCACAAATGCTTTTTAACCTACATTGATATCCTTTCTGAATGAAGCACTTAAGAATGAAGAACTTTTTCATTTAATTTAAGGGGGAAATTTGGATTAAAATGTTTTGTGCAACTGACTTAATGTTAAGGAAACTGGTATGCACTAGGTGCTAAAGTAACTAATTTCTCTGTGGTGTGGCCAGCCGCCATGGCTACTGAGGCGTGACATTGACTTATTTATCACAGGAGAGGAAGGTGAAATGCAATCTTGGCTTGCAGCGTCGGGGTGCCGACATGTCGCTCTCAGCTGTAAGCACACAGAGCAGCGGTGCACGCTGGGTAGATAAACGGGACAATAAATAAACCAGCCAATGGCGTGTTGTTGCTGTGGCAGGGGGGGGCGTTGGCCTCTGTGTTTGCATGTCAGAATTGTGTTTGTGTGATGTGCTGTTTTAATGTTCTCACAGGACCGCGCGCTGCGGCTCCTGCCATTCCTGGTCTTAGCGTAGTAGGTAATTGCATCTGCAGAAATGAATTATTCAGAGAGGTAGAAGGGGGGACTGGGGACTAGGTGTGTGTGTGTGTGTGTGTGTTGACTGGGACTACTGACTAGAGTAGCATCGTAGCACAGCAAAGTGCAGAGGTAAGGTTTCATCAAGTACAGGTTGGGTCTCCTATGATTCCCCTGTGCTGTTGTTATTTCCATGGTGATTGCTTTTCGATGTAGGCCTGTTGGAGATTCTTATCTCATTGTGCACTGGCCCTTTCTGTTGTTTCATTCATACTCTCGCTCTCTCTCACATTTTTCTCTCTCTCTCTTTCTGTCTCTCTTTCCAACTCTACATTACCTCTGTCTCTCTCAATATCTCTCTCCACTACCTCCCTTCATATCACCATGTTTTTAACCTCTTAGTCTCACTCAATATAGGACTCACTATTGTCCTTGTCTATGCTACTTACTATGGCACTTCCTTCACCTCATCTTAGCAGTTTGAGCGTTGGGCCAGTAACCGAAAGGCCACTGGTTTGAATACCCGAGCCGACAACATGAAAAATCTGTCGACGTGCCCTTGAGCAAGGCACTTAACCCTAATTTGCTCCAGGGGTGTGGTACTACTTTGGCTGACCCTGTAAAACAACACATTTCACTGCACCTGTTCAGTGTATGTGACAATAAAAACACATTGATTATTAGTAGTAGTAGGAACACAATGACAATACCTTCTGGAATAAAATACACAGAGAGACTGAAAAATACACACATGCGTTTTGCAGAGCCATGGAGTATAAGTACTTAATGCAAAACATGAGGTATTCATGACATGAACTCCCAATTCCCAGCCTACGCAGAGCAGAGGATCAGTGTTGTCAGCATGGCTTGCATCACAAATTACACCTTATTCCCTGTATAGTGCACTACTTTTAGCCAGAGCCCTATGGGCCATGGTCAAAAGTGATGTGCTATATATGGAAGAGGGTGCCATGTCAAATGCAGCCTTAGTCTGCAGCCAGAGCCAAAACTGGGGATGACTCAGGAAGAGTCAAGCTGATTCTTTCCTCACATCCTCCCCCTCCAGGCCACTGATTAGGCCCTCTGGGGCCAGAGAGGGCCTGCATGTTAACCTCCCTCCACCAGGTGGCGAACCCCCCGGAGCTCAAATCATTGACTTACCTCTCCTCACTCCGCCTCACACCCACTCACCCCCACTCATCCACTTCCCTGAGCTCTAATTCCTGGCATATAAGACCCACCATGGACTCGATAGTCGGCACAGCAGCCATTGATCTAAAGCCCTTATTTATTCAACATCTTTACAGCTAATAGTTCTCCGCTCCCCTCTGGTTTGGACAGCACTGGGTAAAGGGTGACGGCCCAGCCCATCAATAATTAGCAATGACGGCCCTATCAATAAGTCGGTCCATCTGTTCTGCAGCATCTGGTTCTCTCTCACCCACTCGCTGCTCTTTGAAAATGTATTCTGCTACTCCTGAGACACAGTGGAGAGAGAGAGCACGACAGCAAAGGCAAACCTAATCAAACTAACAAAGACAAAGAGAAAGGAATACTCAACCCTGAACTATTGCCGTTAACCTTTTCTGATCCGTTGTGAGAGCATGCATAACACTTCACATTTGGGGTTTTTGCAAACACAAGGCACAGTAAATTAATTCCTGTGAAACACACACATCACCTCTCACAATATACCAATGAAAGAGATGTGGTACTGGTTTCACCACTGACATAAAATTTTTACATTTACCATTTTAGTCATTTAGCAGACGCTTTTATCCACAGCGACTTACAGTTTGTGCATTCATCTTAAGATAGCTAGGTGGGACAACCACATATCACAGGCATAGTAAGTACACTTTTCCTCAATAAAGTAGTTATCAGCAAAGTCAGAGCTAGAAAGGGGGGAGGGGAGGGAGTCAAGTGTAAGTGTTGGTTCGGGGGGGGGGGGGGGGGGAGTCGAGGTGAAGAGGGGGATTATTTAAAATAATATTTGAAGAGGTAGGGTTTCAGGTGCTTTCGGAAGATGGGCAGGGACTCTGCTTTCCTAGCTTCAGCAGGAAGCTGGTTCAACCATTGGGGTGCCAGGACAGAGAAGAGCTTGGAGTGGGCTGAGTGGGAGCTGCCCTCCCTTAGGGGTGGGAGGGCCAAGATAATCATAGCATTACACATTAAACATCACAAAGCAAATGTCAACTAGACAAACAAGATCCTCTCCATGTTGATTTATATGTATTATGTCAATATGAGAAATGTCCTCTCTCTCTCCTTCTCTGACAGCAGCATGCCTATAGTAATTCACTCGCACTATTATTTGAAACTCCACTGTGGTGGATAAGGGCCTGGATGATGTGTTTATGGTGACACACACGCGTGCACAAATATACATATAGGCAGGCACGTACACACACACACATCTTAAACAAGTGTGTGTGTGTGACAGTGAGGCAAATACCAGTCCCTCTCTCCCCCATGATTTATTTGCAATAACTATCAGTGGTGGAGCCCTGCCCTCATAATCTGAATTTTATGAACATACTTGTATGGATTATTGAGATCCTGAATGCTAAGGAGAGTAATGAAGTGTTAGTGCGCTAGCTAGCCCTCTCCCATCTACACAAGCTTAGAAAGGTTCTCAGGAGAGAGAGATAAACCAAGAAGAGAGAATGAGAGAGGGAGAGACAGAGAAAAAGAGAGAAGGAGAGATGATTAGTATTGTGTCTCTATGGCTGCGTTCACAGGCAGCCCAATTGCAATTCTGATATTTTTTCCAATAATTAGTCTTTGACCAATCACATCAGATCTTTTCACATCAGATATTTTTCAGAGCTCATCTGATTGGTCAAAAGACCAATAAGTGAAAACAATATCAGAATTTGGGCTGCCTGTCTGAATGCAGCCTAAGATGGGATTTTTTATCAAGTCACAGTTGAGAAGAGGAAGTAACCATCATCAATCTGTTGCTGAATGGGAGCTGGGCCAGAGGTGGTATAGTATTATGCTTTTATTCTTTCTGTATTTATCTTCTATTGTCTAAGACATTGTTAACATTGAATCAGCAAGTGAGTTCCCTCAGGTATATAAAATACAGAAAAAATACAAAAGTAATGGAAAAATCTATTACTGTTTTGTTGTTTACTTTTTTGTTATAGGTTTCAAATAAGACAGGAAGAATGCTTAACCCAGGCCAGTATTCATCTGACCGAAAAGTTATGATTCTAGTGTGAACCGGAGAGGTCCATCCAGGTGTAAGGATGCCATGGTGTGCCATAGGGTAGAGATAGGGTTAACTCAGAGGCAGACTGAGTGTCATATGTGGTTAAAGCAGAGGCCTCCTGTACACTATAGCGTAGTTAGGTTGAAAGCTAAGCCATGCTATCCTATTACCAAATGATAGAGTTAGGGTTAACGCAGAGACAGGTTGAGTGCTATAGGGTAAAGTTAGGGTTAAAGCCTAAACCCTGCTGTCTGCCTGGCCACTCAAATGATAGGGAGACTGTCATACCTGCTGATTGCAGGGTGGAGCAGGGCAGGACACTATCTTCACCATCTGTTACTAGACAGGGAAAGTCACCCCAGAACTGCTCACACAAAAGTCTGTGTGTGTGTGTGTGTTTGTGAGCTGGACTCTGCCTATCTGTGTGTGCATCCGGGTCTGTCTGTATGGAAACGCACAATCACATCCCAGTCTGTGTGTGTGTGTGTGCATATGTGTGTGTGCGCACGTCCTGCATGTGCATGTGTGCCCTCTCACGTGTGTCTCTGTGAGATTATGTGTACAGATAGGAGAGTGGCAGATAACCAACCCCTGGAGAAGGTCTGTGTTAATATGATTTGGAAGAAGGACCAAGTGAGTCCATATCTGCTGAGTCCCAAATGGCACCCTATTCTCTACATAGTGCGCTACTTTTGACACGGTTAAAATAAATGCACCGTGTAGGGAATATGGTGCCATTTGGGATGCATACCATATACAGTGGGAAAAAAAAGTATTTAGTCAGCCACCAATTGTGCAAGTTCTCCCACTTAAAAAGATGAGAGAGGCCTGTAATTTTCATCATAGGTACACGTCAACTATGACAGACAAAATGAAAAAAGAAATCCAGAAAATCACATTGTAGGATTTTTTATGAATTTATTTGCAAATTATGGTTGAAAATAAGTATTTGGTCAATAACAAAAGTTTCTCAATACTTTGTTATATACCCTTTGTTGGCAATGACACAGGTCAAACATTTTCTGTAAGTCTTCACAAGGTTTTCACACACTGTTGCTGGTATTTTGTCCCATTCCTCCATGCAGATCTCCTCTAGAGCAGTGATGTTTTGGGGCTGTCGCTGGGCAACACAGACTTTCAACTCCCTCCAAAGATTTTCGATGGGGTTGAGATCTGGAGACTGGCTAGGCCACTCCAGGACCTTGAAATGCTTCTTTTACGAAGCCACTCCTTCGTTGCCCGGCGGTGTGTTTGGGATCATTGTCATGCTGAAAGACCCAGCCACATTTCATCTTCAATGCCCTTGCTGATGGAAGGAGGTTTTCACTCAAAATCTCACGATACATGGCCCCATTCATTCTTTCCTTTACACGGATCAGTCGTCCTGGTCCCTTTGCAGAAAAACAGCCCCAAAGCATGATGTTTCCACCCCCATGCTTCACAGTAGGTATGGTGTTCTTTGGATGCAACTCAGCATTCTTTGTCCTCCAAACACGACGAGTTGAGTTTTTACCAAAAAGTTATATTTTGGTTTCATCTGACCATATGAGATTCTCACAATCCTCTTCTGGATCATCCAAATGCACTCTAGCAAACTTCAGACGGGCCTGGACATGTACTGGCTTAAGCAGGGGGACACGTCTGGCACTGCAGGATTTGAGTTCCTGGCGGCGTAGTGTGTTACTGATGGTAGGCTTTGTTACTTTGGTCCAAGCTCTCTGCAGGTCATTCACTAGGTCCCCCCGTGTGGTTCTGGGATTTTTGCTCACCGTTCTTGTGATCATTTTGACCCCACGGGGTGAGATCTTGCGTGGAGCCCCAGATCGAAGGAGATTATCAGTGGTCTTGTATGTCTTCCATTTCCTAATAATTGCTCCCACAGTTGATTTCTTCAAACCAAGCTGCTTACCTATTGCAGATTCAGTCTTCCCAGCCTGGTGCAGGTCTACAATTTTGTTTCTGGTGTCCTTTGAAAGCTCTTTGGTCTTGGCCGTAGTGGAGTTTGGAGTGTGACTGTTTGAGGTTGTGGACAGGTGTATTTTATACTGATAACAAGTTCAAACAGGTGCCATTAATACAGGTAACGAGTGGAGGACAGAGGAGCCTCTTAAAGAAGAAGTTACAGGTCTGTGAGAGCCAGAAATCTTGCTTGTTTGTAGGTGACCAAATACTTATTTTCCACCATAATTTGCAAATAAATTCATTAAAAATCCTACAAAGTGATTTTCTGGATTTTATTTCTCAATTTGTCAGTCATAGTTGACGTGTACCTATGATGAAAATTACAGGCCCCTCTCATCTTTTTAAGTGGGGGAACTTGCACAATTGGTGGCTGACTAAATACTTTTTCCCCCCACTGTATACAACTGATCCTAAGGGGACAGGGCTCTATAATGGCTCCAGGGTAAGGGGACAAACAGGGGAGGGAGGAGGATAATACTGTTTTCACTGACAAAACACCAGCCAGAAAGATAGACACACAGAGTTGTTCCCTATACAGATAGAATGACACTGCCCTGCAGATTGTATTAACAAGTGAGATCTGCCATGAGCCCTCCCTCAGATCAGCCATTCATCAAACAAAGGGGGCCTGCCAGCTGGGACTGAGGGAAGTGTTTGAGCTGTGTGTGGGGTGGGGGGATAAGTCTGGAAACTCATTAAAGTCTGGAGAAACTACCCACTGGACAGATGTGAATTCAACGTCTAGTTTTGATGTAAAATGTTTGAGTTGTCAACTAACGTGAAATCAACAAAACATTTCACCTTGTGATTGGATTGAGTTAAAAGCTGGCTGAAAAAGATACTAAATTCCCTCACGTTGATGACGTTTTGCAAATCCAATCCGTTTTCCACGTTGATTCAACGTCATCACATAAAAAAATTTGTTGTTGAAATGACGTGGAAACAACGTTGATTCAACAAGTTTTTGCCCAGTGGGTATAGCCCATGTGGATCCCTGTGGCACTGATGATAAGGTCCAAGACAGAAGGTCACAGACAAAAAAGTAACATAGTGGTGGTGTTGGGGGGTGGGAATAGCCCTATGGCTGAAGCCTCCATTACTATGGGCTACTGCCATATCAGAGCTAGGATGTGAAATGTAGGGTAGGGGTAGCGATGGTGTGGACAAGTGATCAGTGATGTGAGTAAATCTGATATACATTTGATTGGCATGATTACTTACCACCTCTCTGGGTAGATGGGAGTCCTCTTGGCGTGGGACTAGCAGACTGACTGTTCCTCCCATGGGTGTGGCCCTAAGTAGAGCTACCACCTCTTCCTGAGTCCTCCCGTTCAGATCTACTCCATTCACCTGGACACACACACACAAACGTGCACACGCACGCACACAAGCGCAGACACACACATACATTCACACACGCAAACACATAAACATGCACACAAACAGTTAGGGAATGTATTACAGATTTTTTATTAAACAAAAATGTTACTGCCTTGTATTACGTGTGAAACAATTACTAATTTAATTCCACACATAATCATTCTCTGTTTGCATAGAGGAACTGTGACTATTTCCAAGACCGGAAATTTTCCAATTACATAGTCTATGATTTTCATGTCATTCTGATTGGACTGTTGACACAAGATTATAACATGCAGTTCCCTTTGTTTAGCCACTCAAAGCTCAACATGAACAGCCCTATAGGTACTCTACTCTGTGATTTACCACTTATTTAAATGGCAATGCCCTTTCAATCAGCCTCTGTGTCACTAGCATACTGGTAATGGCATTGGCGCAAATCAATGATCATGAATGACAACTGGTATGAAGGCATGCAGGTGTTTCAATCCACATGACATAAGGCAGTCTTTGTCGATTGGATGTTACTAAGAATAAAATTAATGGAAGGAAGAGGAGAAATAAAGGGTTGTAGCAGGACAAGTGTAATGAAGAGCAGTGGTGGAAAAAGTACTAAATTGTCATACTTGAGTAAAAGTAAAGATACCTTAATAGAAAATGACTCAAGTAAAAGTGAAAGTCACCCAGTAGAATACTACTTGAGTAAATGTCTAAAAGTATCTGGTTTTAAATGTACTTAAGTAAAGTGGTGGAAAAAGTACTCAATTGTCATACTTGAGTAAAAGTAAAAAGTGAAAGTAAATGCTATACATCAAATTCCTTATATTAAGCAAACCAGACGGCACACTTTTCTTGTTTTTAAAATTTACGGACAGACAGGGGCACACTCCAACATCATTTACAAACGAGTATTTGTGTTTAGTGAGTCCGCCTGATCAGAAGCAGTAGGGATGACAATGCGTTATATTGATAGGTGTGTGAATTGGACCATATTGCTGTCCTGCCTGAGCATTCTTCCTCTTCATACTCCTCTTAATCAGCGGTGTAAAGTACTTAAGGAAAAGTACTTTAAAGTGCTACTTACGTCGTTTTTGGGGGTATCTATACTTTACTTTACTATTTACATGTTTTACAACTTTTGTTTGCTCCACTACATTCCTAAGGAAATTATGAACTTTTTACTCCCATACATTTTCGCTGACAACCAAAAGCACTTTGTTTCACGTAAACATGGCTCTCAAGTGATTGTCTGTCGAAATCGGTCCAGCCAGATGGGTCCTCAATTCATCACGCAGACAGGAATAAATATCTCTCCGGGAAGCAGAAGGGCAGAGGTGTGTGTTTCATGATTAAAGACTCATGGTGTAATTGTAGTAACATACAGGAACTCAAGTCCTTCTGTTCACCCGACCTAGAATACCTCACAATCAAATACTGACCGTATTATCTCCCAAGATATTTTTTTATAGTCACCCTCAAGCCGATACCACGACGGCCCTCAAAAGAACTTCACTGGACTTTATGCAAACTGGAAACCACATATCTTGAGGCTGCATTTATTGTAGCCGGGGATTTTAGCAAAGCAAATTTGAGGACTAGGCTGTCGAAGTTCTATCAACATATCTAAAATCCTTGACCATTGCTATTCGAACTTCCGGGATGGTTATAAGGCCCTCCCCCGCCCTATTTTCGGCAAATCTGACCACGACTCTATTTTGCTCCTCCCTTCATATAGGCAGAAACTCAAACAGGAAGTACCCGTGCTAAGGACTATTCACCACTGGTCTGACCAATCGGAATCCATGCTTCAAGATTGTTTTGATCACGCGGACTGGGATATGTTCTGGGTAGCTTGCGAAAATAATTTAGACTAATACTCTGAAACGGTGAAGTGTATAGGTGATGTTGTGCCCACTGTGACTATTAAAACCTACCCTAACCAGAAACTGTGGATAGATAGCAGCATTCACGCAAAACTGAAAGCACGAACCACCAAATTTAACCATGGCAAGGTGACTGGGAATATGGCAGAATACAAACAGTGTAGCTACTCACTCCGCAAGGCAATTAAACTTGCAAAACAACTTGCAAGACAAAGTGGAGTCGCAATTCAACGGCTCAGACATTACATTTACATTTTAGTCATTTAGCAGACGCTCTTATCCAGAGCGACTTACAGAAGCAATTAGGGTTAAGTGCCTTGCTCAAGGGCACATCGACAGATTTTTCACCTAGTTGGCTCGGGGATTAGAACCAGCGACCTTTCGGTTACTGGCACAACGCTCTTACCCACTAAGCTACCTGCCGCCCGACACGAGACGTATGTGGCAGGGTCTACAGACAATCATGGACTACAAAAGGAAAACCAGCCATGTTGCCGACACCGACGTCTCGCATCCAGACAAGCTAAACACTGACTTCGCCCCGCTTTGAGGATAACACAGTGCCACCGACGAGGCCCACTACCAAGGACTGTGGCCTCTCCTTCTCCGTGGTCGATGTGAGTAAGACATTTAAGCATGTTAACCCCCGCAAGGCTGCCGGCCCAGACGGCATCCCTAGCCGCGTCTTCAGAGCATGCGCAGACCAGCTGGCTGGTGTGTTTACGGACATATTCAATCTCTCCCTTTCCTAGTCTGCTGTTCCCACATGCTTCAAGATGGCCACCATTTTTCCTGTACCCAAGAGAGCAAAGGTAACTAAACTAAATGACTATCGCCCCGTAGCACTCACCTCTGTCATCATGAAGTGCTTTGAGAGACTAGTCAAGGATCATATCACCTCTACATTACCTGTCACCCTAGAACAACTTCAATTTGCTTACCGCCCCAATAGATCCACAGACAATGCAATCGCCATCACACTGCACACTGCCCTATCCCATCTGGACATGAGGAATACCTATGTAAGATTGTTGTTCATTGACTATAGCTCAGCATTCAACACCATAGTACCCTCCAAGCTCATCATTAAGCTCGAGGCCCTGGGTCTGAACCCCGCCCTGTGCAACTGGGTCCTGGACTTCCTGACGGGCCGCCCCCAGGTGGTGAAGGTAGTAAACAACATCTCCACTTCGCTGATCCTCAACACTGGGGCCCCACAAGGGTGTGTGCTCAGCCCCCTCCTGTACTCCCTGTTCACCCTTGACTGCGTGGCTAAGCACGCCTCCAACTCAATCATCAAGTTTGCAGACTACACAACAGTAGTAGGCTTGATTACCAACAATGACGAGATCGCCTACAGGGAGGAGGTGAGGGCTCTGGGAGTGTGGTGCCAGGAAAATAACCTCTCACTCAACGTCAACAAAACAAAGGAGATGATCGAGGACTTCAGGAAACAGCAGAGGGTGCACCCCCCTTTCCACATCGACGGGACCGCAGTGGAGAAGGTGGAAAGCTTAAAGTTCCTTGGCGTACACATCACTGACAAACTGAAATGGTCCACTCACACAGACAGTGTGGTGAAGAAGGCACAACAGAGCCTCTTCAACCTCAGGAGGCTGAAAAAATTTGGATTGGCACCTAAAACCCTCACAAACTTTTACCAATGCACAATTGAGAGCATCCTGTCGGGCTGTATCAACGCCTGGTATGGCAACTGCAGCGCCCGCAACCGCAGGGCTCTCCAGAGGGTGGTGCGGTCTGCCGAACGCATTACCGGGGGCAAACCACCCAGCCTCCGAGACACGTACATCACCCGATGTCACAGGAAGGCCAAAACGATCATCAAGGACAACAACCACCCGAGCCACTGCCTGTTCACCCCGCTTTCATCCAGAAGGTGAGGTCAGTACAGGTGCATCAAAGCTGGGACTGAGAGAATGAAAAACAGCTTCTATCTCAAGGCCATCAGACTGTAAATAGACATCACTAGCACATTAAAGGCTGCTGCTGCCTATTGAAATCACTGGCCACTTTAAGAAATGGAACACTAGTCACTTTAATAATGTTTACATATCTTGCACGACTCATCTCATATGTATATACTGTATTCTATTCTACTATATCTTTGTCCATGCCGCTCTGTCATTGCTTGTCCATATGTATATATTCTTAAATTCCATTCCTTACTAGATTTGTTTGTATTGGGTATATGTTGTGAAATTGTTAGATATTACTTGTTAGATATTACTGCATTTCGCTACACCCGCAATAACATCTGCTAAAGACGTGTATGTGACAAATACAATTTGATTTGAGTTGACTGGAGGATGAAGAGGACTGTAGGTGACCAGTTTTAACAGAGACACATGGAAGGACGAGGAGGTTTTATACTAACGGGGTAACTGGAGGCGGTACGTGACAGGGTTGATGCGATGGGTTATCTTGAAGGAACCAATGGAGCGAGGACAGAACTTTTTGCAGGGGAGGCAGAGTCGGATGTCTCTGTTAGAGTGCCACACACGCTGTCTGGGTGAAAGAGTGGCGTACGTCGGCGGAGTCTGTCGGCAAAGCATTTCTGAGTATTAGAGGCTTCCTGCAGATGCCGGTGAGTGGTCTCCCATACCCGCTCACTATGCCGAAAACAGTCATCGACAGCTGGGACAGTACCAGGCTCCGCCTCCCAGGGAGACATGGGGGGTTGGTAACCAAGGACACACTGAAACGGAGTAAGGCGGAGGGATGAATGCATGAGTGAGTTTTGTGCATATTCGGCCCAGGCCATATACCGACTCCAGTCATGTGGAGAGGCAGAACATTGTTGGCGGAGGTACTTCCCTATTTCTTGGTTCAGGCGTTCCGTCTGCCAGTTGGTCTGGGGAAGATACCCGGAGGAGAGGCTGAGGGCGACCCCCAGTCGGTCACAGAAAGCTCGCCACACCCGGGAGACAAACTGGGGCCTGCAGTCAGAGACGATGTCCTCCGGAATCCCATACAGACGGAACACCTGTTGGAACATACACTCAGCCAATTCCATGGCGTTAG